TTTTTAGGGGTTACTTTAGATTCTCATCTTAAGTTTGATAGACATGTAAAGAGAATATGCAGAACTGTCAGGACAAATTTAAACTGCTTACGATTAATAACACAATATATAACCCTTCAGGCAGCACAGCAGTTTATGCATTCAGTGAGATATTTTCTCATTTATCGTATTGCATAACTGTTTGGGGTCAGGCCAGCCAAACAACAACTACACCTATTAGGTCATTACATAACCTGTCAGCCTTTTCACCTGTTTAACCCAAAAATCTATTGATCGACTCCACACTGTCCAGAACTCAGCTGCCAGGCTTTTAACCAGAACAAAGAAATATGACCACATTACTCCTATTTTAGCTTCATTGCACTGGCTCCCAGTATGTTTTAGAATTGACTTTAAAATTCTATTGATCACTTTTAAAGCTCTTCATGGCCTCTCGCCTTGTTATATTTCTGACCTTTTAGTCCCATACGCACCAGCACGTACCTTGAGATCCTCGGGCAGAGGTCTGTTGTCTGTTCCAGAGTCTCGACTGAAAACTAAAGGGGACAGAGCGTTTGCTGTCAGGGCCCCGAGGCTCTGGAACAGCCTGCCCGAGGAAATCAGGTCGGCTGAGTCAGTGAACTCTTTTAAGTCCCTTCTTAAAACATACTTTTATAGGAGAGCCTTTCCTGATTTTATTTGACTTTATTTTATCCCTTTTATTTTATTGTATTTTACTAATTTTATATTAATTTTTCATGCTCTTATCTTGTTTTTTTTTGTATTTATTTTGTTTGTTTTTTTGTTTGTTTGTTTGTTTATTTATTTATTACAGGGACAGTGCATATTCATAAACATTTCTGTCAATATGCCAGAATTAGCCTAAAGGCTATTTTTCATCTGCAGTCCCTAGACAGATGTTAAGAGTCACCCTAAAAAAGATTACATAGTACATAGCACTAAAAAATTAAGATACATTTAGTAAAATATCAATTATATTAAATATACAATCTAAACACATCAAAACAACAATCGGACAAACATCACGTAAAACCATGACACACATAAGGAAAAAAAAGTCAACAGTGTGCATCAAGGGCATGTGTAGTAATAGGTTAATGTTGACAACTCTGATGATCAATAAGCCATTTCCTTAACTGAATCTTAAATGAACTATACGTGTTTATATTTCTGATAATTATGGGGGTGAGGTTCCACTCAGCAGCAGCTAGAACAGAAAAAGCAGTATGACCAAATACACTTTTCCTAAAGGGAATGATACAATCTCCCCTAGCTGCACCTCTGGTCCTGCATGAATCAGCTGTTCGGGTATTGACAAACTGTTGGAGGGGAGGGGAAGATAAACCATGAATAATTTTATAAATAAGACATAGATTTGAGTATTTAACCATATTATCCCAACTGAGCAATCTATATTTTTGTAATATTGGACAGTGATGAGAAATACATGGTTTCTTATCCAGAGTTTTAACAGTTCGTTTGTAAAGTGATTGCAGAGGTTTCAAAGATGTAATACTAGCTTGTGCCCAAATGGGTAGACAGTAAGTGATGTGTGAGAAAATCATAGAGTGCATGTACATTTTTGCTGCCTGTGTGGACATTTGATGGCGAATGTGTCTAAAGTTACTGAGACTATATTTAATTCGATTACAGACCATTTTTACATGTGATGAAGATGATAACTTTGAATCAATTAAAACTCCCAGATATTTGTATTCTGACACGATCTGCAATTTTTCCCCTGAAACAAAAATATCTGGCTCAACACTGAAGTTTTTGTGGGACTTAGTAAAAAACATTGCTACTGTTTTTGATGTATTCAGCTGCAGGCAGGAGTGTTTCAACCAAGCTGTGATGCTATCCATGGAGTTAGTGAGCTTCTCAACCACCTGAGCGATATTCCTACCGTGTGCATAGACTACGGTGTCATCAGCATACATCTGCACAAAAACATCAGGACAAGCGAGTGGGAGGTCATTTATATAAATGGAGAATAACAGAGGCCCTAAATTAGATCCCTGAGGAAGACCGGTGGACAGACTCAAGGCCGCTGATTTAGATGATTGAACTCTGACATGTTGGGAACGGTCAGTGAGATAAGACTCAACCCATTTAAGTGCATCTGAGGAAAAATTAAAATTACATAATTTTGTCAGTAAAATTTTATAATTAACAGTGTCAAAAGCCTTCCTGAGATCCAGAAATACCGCTCCAACAACCCCACCTTGATCTAACAGAGCTCTTATATTTTCAGTAAGGAAACAAGTCGCAGTCTCGGTGGAGTATTTTGCTCTAAAGCCAAACTGCATAGGGTGGAGAGCATAGGGAGTGGTGTTTAGATGGTTAATAATTTGCTTTGCAATCAGTTTCTCGGCAATCTTAGACACTGTGGGCAATATACTTATGGGCCTGTAGTTTGACATGGAATGAGGATCTCCACTTTTAAAAACTGGAACAACAACAGCTGGTTTCCACATGCTTGGGAACAGATTTTGAGAAATGGACAGATTAATAATTTTGGTGATGGGTGGTGTAATTGATGTACTTAAAGCCTTGATCATCACCGTATCTATATCAAAAATATCTTTGCATCTCGATGGTCTGAGTGATTTAATGGTCTGTGACACTTCTAGTTCTGTGATATTAAATACGTTGAAAACTGATTGACTTGTGTCTATTGGCGGAGTAAATACGTTCTCAGGTGTAAAACAGCTTGCTATGTTAGCCACAGAATCAATAAAATGATGATTAAAAGCCTCTGCTACCTCTAGAGTATTGTTTGTCAGCCGGTCATTTACTTTAATTTCTACAGTTTTTTGTTCATTGGGTTGATCACCTGTCATTTTTCTTAGCTGGCTCCATATTACTTTAGGATTTCCATTAGATTTCTCAATTATAGTAATAAAGAAATCAGCCTTTGCTTTCTTAATGACCTTACAACTTTATTTCTCAACATGGCGAAACGTCCTCTGTCATGCGCTGATTTAGTTTTATTTGCTAATTTTAGGGCTAAGTCTCGCTCTTTCATGATTTTTATAATGTCTGGATTTATCCAAGGTACAGTGTTTTTGTTATGTTTGTACTTGATTTTTTGAATGAATTCTTTAATAGTTCTCTCAAGTGTAATTAAAAATGTTTGGCTATCTTTGTCAGAGTCAACTAAGGGTAAAATGTCATCCCATTGAATTTGGTTAGCTGCGTCTAAAAAGTTTTGATATTTACTTTTAGGAATTGTAGTGGTGCCTTTTTATTACTAGTACAAGAATGAAAGCGTTTTTTAGTAAGTTTCCTGGTGACAAGAGTTAAATTATGGTCCGATAAACCTGTCAACATATTGAACGATTTTACAATTCTTTCTGGTCTATTGGTAAATATAAGATCGATTTGAGTCTTAGTAGAGTTAGTTATTCTCGTTGGCCCACGGACAACTTGTGTTAAATCAAACCTGTCTGTGATTTGTTTAAGCTTTTTTCTAGAGAGTTTGTCCTGCCAGTTAATGTTAAAATCCCCCATTATAATAATTTCTTTATCAAGATTGTTTTCTTTTAGCAGCTGCTCAAAGTTTTCATAAAAGCTGTTATCTGCCGAGGGAGGCCTGTACATTACAACAAGGACAAAGGACATTTGTGGGGAAAGCCTGACATTGAGCCCTAAACATTCTAGATTACAATTTGACCACTGGATTTTGTGACACTGTAATGTGCTTCTTATATAAACCATCACACCTCCCCCTTTTTTGATTCCTGTCTGTCTGTCCTGTATATATTATAACCAGGAATATTCAGAGCTGCTAATGGGGCATTTTGATTAAGCCAGGTTTCAGATAAGCATAAAAAGTCCAGGTTTGAACCCAGTAAAAGATGCTGTATTTGCTCACTTTTAGACAGTAAACTTCTAATATTTAAATGACCACCTAAAAGTCCCTTTGGTTTAGCCCTAGGGTCCCATACTGTTCGCGAATGATTGACAGTGTGGAACACCTCCCACTTCCTGTTCTTTGCAATCCCTGGATTTATCCGTTTCCTGTTTACATTCTGCATTACAATGGAGACATGCGAAGCGCACGTTTTTGAAATTGTCTCAGAACTTTGGGGTCTAGCCAACCCAGTAGGAACATGTGGTCCACCCGATGTCCCCGCGAGGTCATCGCTCTGTGGGATCGCCCCCCCTGATCCTCCGAGGACAAGCCGCATTCCAGCCACGCCAACGCCGGCGCGAGAAACCTGCGCACGCCGATCCACCACCTTCTGCACCCCAGCACCAGCACGCCTCCCCGGCGCCCCATCCGCGACAGCACCAAACGAGGGCGACGGACAGGGAAGGTTAGAAAGTACAGGACCACACTGTAGTACATCATACAACGGGCATACCTGTAGGACTGTAGTAGTACGCTCCTGTCCAGGCCTCTCCTCCAGTGTGACGCGGTGCGGTCCTGGGCATGGATGTATGTCTCCAGATAATATTAAAGAGATTGTGATGATCAGTGCGTTGGTCCATTGTAGTCGTGAATTTGTAATAGTTTTTTTTTTTTGTAATTGTTTGTACAGCTGAGGATAAATGAAAGTCATAGCCACAAGGTATTTCCCATAGCCAATGCTTGGCTTGTTATTGATTGTTTGTTTAAGAAGTAACGTTAGATCCATACTGCTGAAATATATTTTCCCATTGGAAAAAAGTTGTTGCTTGTTTTCAGCATGTTTAAGGTCTAAACCAACTTTAGATGGTATGAAACCCAAAATCAGAGTGTATAGTAGAAGAGCTGTTACCATGCCTGCCATACCAGCGGCCATCTTGTTTGTATTATTCTTTACACTTGTTAAAGCACTTTGTAACTTGTTTTTGAAAAGTGCTCTACAAATAAGGATTATTATTATTATTATTATAACAGGCACTAAAAGTAATGGACCAGAAATCTGTAAGATGGCGCCACTGCCTCATTCTACAGAATATATTGAGTTTTGACAGTTTTGTAAATTTTTCATTTCTAAAACTAGTTTTAAGTGTGTGAACAAACTTGTACCAGAAATATTCTGTCAAATAGTAGAGAAACAAAAGAGTGGAATAAGAACTAGAGGCACAGTAAGTGGAAACTGTATAGAACAACATTTGGTCAGACATTGTTTTCAGTAAAATGCTTTGCCATCCAAAATTAAAACATTGACAGAACTCAAGGTTTTTAATACGCATTTAAAGCAATGGCTGTGAACACTGACTGTACAGGATACAATACAATGCATACAAACATAAGGTTGCATATGTTAGCATGCACAGACACATGCACGCTTCTTATTTTGTGTTCTTGTATTGTTAAATGTTTCTGGACTCTGTTTTATAGTGATTTCTACATCTACTTAAGCCCATATATTATTTCATGTACGGGATGTATTTATTTGTGTGTATTTTAACGGTTGTAAATTTTAAACTCAATTTTAATTTTATAAGCCTAACCGGGAACAGGGGTTGCAAATTAATCATGGCTAGAAACCTGTATGCATGGCATCTACTTTGTATTCTTTATAAAGCAATGTTCTATGCAAACATTAAATAAATAAATGAGATCAACTTTATTGTCCCTTAAGGGAAATTTGTCTTGGGATTAAGTTGCAGGTCTGACAGACAGACAGCCGACATAGCCATCCATAAAACTGAATACTGGCTAGGCAGCTATATGCGTGACAAATAAGACTAATAGTTGTCTTTGCAGATTGATATCGACTCCATACTGCTGACAGTGCCAATCAGAAGTCTTCCAGTGCAAAGGTCCTAATTTTTTATTATTCAAAATATAAGCGTAACTTGATAAGCTTATCAAGTCGGGCTGCTTGTCAGAGTTACTTACCTGTCAAATAAACCAATAAATGTTTCCACCTTATGAGCTGTTATGAATGTTTACAGGAATCAGACCGTCTTACATTGGCAGTTTGAATCTCTATACGGCGGCCGTCAGTTTACTGCATTCCAGGACATAACTTGTTATTATCCACGCTTACTACTGTGATGGAAATTTGATATTTTACTCTGTTTACTGTTTCACCCTGCATGCTCTATTATTATATACAAAGGTCTCACTGTATGGTATTTGATTATTTTATCATGTTACAGCTAGGTGACGTTTTCCATGGGAAAGATGCTCGTTAGAGAGTTTTCTTATCTGACTGACCTTGATAGGCCTTTGACTCAGGACAGCTGGTCCCTACTCCCTTGCTCTTTTGCTTCCTGAGTAATAAAAAGTCACCTGCTCCTTCACTGGCTCTTTGTCTTACACTCTGCAGACTGTTTGCACTCTGTATGTTTGTCCGACCGTTTGCAAAGAATAAAACCCTTAAAAGACGTCCAGATTGAATTCTTTATTTCAGAAGACTCACTAAAGGTTTAATTTCCATTACACTACCTTTTCACCTCACGTGTATCATGTGAGTTTAAAGGTGTCAAAAGCATTGTCATCTGTCGTTTGAAAGACTGAAAACACAGAAACGTGAGGTTATCTCATCACATTCTAGCAATCAGTTACTTACCTATTGCTTGCACCTGGTCCAGAGGTCACTGCTGTTATTTCTCCTTTCTGTTAGTTGTCTGCGTTTTCTGTTTGTGAGAGTGTGTCACTTTTTTTTTTTTCAAGGGACTTTTTCCTCATCCGAATTGAGGGTCAGATGCTTGGAGAACCCTCCGAGGCAAATTTGTGATTTGTGAATTTGGCTAAACATTGAATTGACTTGACTTGGCTGCCATGGGTTGGCTGAAGGAGTCGGAGAAAAAGAAGAAGATCATTGTGAGTATCAGATTTGGTTCTGAATTGAACAGTAATGGGGAAAGCCATGATGCATAGCCAGAGAACACATACGTCCATTTCTTTTTTACACTCAGTACAAGTATAGTTTAGAGTTTAATAGAATGCAAGATGTGCAGAGGTAAATATACCTTTTTAACCTTTACTAATCTATTGACGTTTTGCTAAGCGCTGCTCTCTTTTTCAGTAGTTTCAGCTTCATGCTTCCTTGAGGATATTATTTATTACTATATAAATGCAAAACGTCGTATACATGAGTGGTACATGGGCACGAACCCCAAATCCTGGCAATGTGATTACAATAGACAGCCCTTTGGGTTCACACTGGATCCATGTTAGCATAAGAGTAATTTAAATGGGTTCATCTAATGTAGAGAATGTTTTTAAACATAATAAGACATCACAAGGCAAGTACTGTTCATATGACATGTTATGAGTAACTACTTACAAGAATATACTATAGATATTTATGAATATTACTTGTAATATCATGTCACTTTATTAATCCCAGAGGCACAATGAAGAACACACAGTGACTGCGATTATTGGTTGTGTTTGTTTATCTATATTATGTCATTTGGGATGTGAAAAAGCCATTTACCAGACGGCACTTGAAGGCACACAGTAGGAGTGGGTAATACAGATACAATCCTCTGCCATGCTTTGTGTGATTTGCTGTCACAATATGGATATAGAGGATATTGTGCTGTAGTAGTAGTGGTAGAGAAACTGTTGATGAATATAATGACAACACGGGAAAGTATTATATTTGGTGTTACGGCTGTATGTGTTTTCCCTGTGCTGTGTCAAACCAAACTTTGCCCTCAGACACACAATGACACACACAAACCTTCAAAAACAAACACTACAACACAGTTTTACACACTGGTGAGATACATTAAAAAACAATACTAAAAAATTGGTTTCTAGTGATTCTCCCCCTTTTCGCCCCTTTTTCACATGATGAACACAACAAAAGAAATAACAAATGTAAACATTTGCACATTTTTTTATTCCTTTGTGTACTGTACAGTACAACACACTAAACAACAAATTATTCTGCCCCAGCGTCCTGTCTTTGGTCTGGCCAGCTATTCTTGTCCACCTCCATCTCCTCCTCCTCCTCCTCTTCCCTTCTCCTGCTCCGCCTCCTCATACTCCTTATCTTATCTTCCTCTTATCCCATCTCCTCCTCCTCCCTCCTCTACCTCCCTTCTCCTGCTCCGCCTCCTCATACTCCTTATCTTATCTTCCTCTTATCCCATCTCCTCCTCCTCCCTCCTCTACCTCCCTTCTCCTGCTCCGCCTCCTCATACTCCTTATCATCCTCTTATCCGATCTCCTCCTCCAACTTCTACTGTTGCTCTTCCTTCACCTCTTACTCCTCTCCATACTGCTCGTCCTCCTCCTCATCTTCCTTCTCTCTGGTGTCCTACGCCTCTTTCTTCAGATTTCTCTGGATCCATTGTTCCAAAACTGAATGAACTGACTCGGGCCCTTTTATATAATGAAACTTCTGATTGGTGTGTTATCAATTTTAACTGGTTGTGTTTCCACCTGGGGAGCTGTGTGTTAATTGAGCTCAACCTGTGATGACTTGAGTGAACAATATTGAATATCAGTGTTTTCTCAATGACCACATGGGGAAGGCAATGAGAAATTAAGGGATTTTTGGGTTGTGGTTTTGAAATTTTAGTTCAAAAACCTGCTTATAGTGTTTAAGCAACTTAGAAAAGCTGTAATGTAAAAGTCATGTAAAAATCTTATATTGGCATTAGTAAGCAGTATGCTCGTTAATGCATTTTACATCCAGAGACACTGATGAGATTAAACATTTGCAGTATTTGACAGCTTATGCCTCAGAGTTTGATTTTCTCAGAAAACATCTTGGTTGCATTCGAGTTCAGCAGTCGACTTCAAACGTATTAAACGCATTAATGCAGGACGATTATTATCAACTAATTATTGGCGCTCAATTTGTTCCCTTTCAAAATATTCTCATGAAAAACATCCTGATAACAAACACTCAGATGTGGAAACAATCTGCTTACATTTCTGTGATTGGTTGTTATGGGCAGCACATATTTTGCTAATCAAAACTCCACAATATAAACCATCCTCTGTCCTGGAAACTTTAATTATGATTTCAGTAAATGTCAATAATTCCAGCAAATGCAAAATGTTTTCCTAGAAATCCAGAGTCTGGTAACAATAATTCCATTGTTGACAACATTTTTAATGTTTTGTTATCTTTACATAATCACAGTTAGGTGGTGCTGTAATGTGGTGGTTAGACTGTTGCGTCACAGCAGAAAGGTCTGGGGATCAAACCTTGGTCATCCCAGGCCATAGGTGTCAGTTACACTGGAGACTGTGTTTCCGCCTGGGTAGCTAATTGAGCTCAACCTGTGCTGACTTGAGTGAACAATATTGAATGTTAGTGTTTTCTCAATGCCCACATGGTGTAGGCAATGAGAAATGAAGGGATTTGTGGGTAGAGTTTAGGGAAATTGTTGTGCTTTTTGAAAAATGGAGCTATGGTTTTGAAATTTTAGTTCAAAAGCCTGGTTATTGTGTTTAAGCAACTCAGATGCACAAGATGCACAAGTTCGTCATGTCTCGTGATCCATGAGCCCTTATATCCCCACCACTTTTCAACACAAAGTGACGCCCCAGTCCTCTCTGTTGTCCAGTTTGAAAGTTCTCCCTACGTCTGTGTGGGTTCTCTCTGGGTGTGAGTGGTTGTTTGTTTTTATGTTCTATATGGACTGGTGACCTGTCTTAGTCCCAGTGTCGACTGGAATTGGCTCCAGCTCCCGGGATAAGCGGGTATAGATGATGGATGGATTTACAAGAGCAACACAATCATTCTCATAATAAGAATTTCACTGATGGCAAACCCTGTGCTTTTCTTGTTATAAATCCTTCAGCTTTCATTCAACATATTCCACAAAACACTACTTTGTCCCTCACAAATAGAGATTGACCTTTGTCCCTTTACATGTATATGTGGCAGACCGACACTAATTAGTTCAATCAATTTCTTTCTCTCAGCCGTCAGAAGATACTCTAAGGAAATCTACTTTTGTGTCTCTTAAAGTGTGTGTGTTCGTTTCTGTTTCACAGATAGGTGTCTTGGCTGTATCGATCGTGACCCTAATCCTCGGTCTTGGACTTGGTCTCGGATTGGATTTGCAGAAATGTCGAAACAAAGGTGATGTCACACACACACACACGTTTGTCTTATTATCTTTGCGGAGACTTGCCATTGAGATAATGCATTCCCTAGCCCCTTACGCTAACCATAACCATTACAACCACATGTCTAACCTTAACCCTTACCCTACCCTAACCTTGACCCAATTCTAACCCTAACCCTAAAATCAAGTCTTAATCCTCAAACAGCCCTCTAAACTTGTAAACTCCACAAGTATGATGAAATACGTTTTTTTTGGACCACACAAATATAGTAAAACAACACACACACACACACACACACACACACACACACACATGCATAAACATATTTCTCTGCATGCTCACATTCTTGACCAGAAAAGCAGTTTTTTTGTCATCTCCTCGCTCATGTTAATCTTGACTAATGCATTTGACTTTCAATACTTGACCACTTATAAGTATTCATTTTAATTTCCTATTATCTGTGCCTCAACTGTCAAATTCAAGATTAATTCTTAATTTGCATGAGTCAGATATACAGTATAGTGACTCATCATGTTTGCAGGGAAAGTCAGACAAATATAGAGTTTAATGTCCTAGGAATTGTAAAATGGTATGATACATTTTTACACGTCTGCTATTGATTTTATCATTGGCTAGGTGCCTGTGTCTTACTGATCCAAGCCAGCTGCTTGCAGTAGTTCTCTAAAAGTGGCTGTCTCTGTTTATTTTCTGGGAAAGTTGCAATTAGCGAAGTGTTGATTGTTAACAGCTCTTTTAAGTGAATCATGGGAGTTGGCTCCCTTCTGAGAGCCATCACCCCCAACCTTAATTTTAGTAATTTCCTTTAATAGGGTGTTATTTAGGTTATTATACAAGTAGGATAGTTAGTCTTGACCTCTGAAGAATCTTGCACATTTATTCCTTGTCACAAATAAGAATGTAACTTAGGAGGTGATCATGGTTTTGCACAGACTGAACCCCTACACTGTATAATAACGCTACTGTACAACTGTAGCCTGCATACTTACCACTTCTCTTCAATACATTTTGAATATATCCACATAGCCTACTGTAAAATATTTGTGTATTGTAACTACAGTATTGTAGCCTAAGATATAGCATAACTGCACTCATCTGTACAAACACTATGCACTTCACACCGATGATAATTGCATTTCATTAGCTCTGCACACCTGCTCTGTAAAATGGCAATAAAGCCGAATCTAAACTAATCTGAAGTGGCACCAAATGAAGACACGTTTGGGGGCCGAAAGAGCCAGAAAGTCTCTCTGAAAGGAATGCAGCCATAAGATTAAAGAGCGAGAGAGAGGATCTCTGAGCTTCTCAAATTCCAGGTGAACATCAATTTAAAGGGAGGAGTGACTCAGGAAAATGTGTCACAGAAATAGTTGTGTAATTGACCTAAACTGCTGTGTTTCCTCTTCACTGATTTGAACTCAGAAAATAACTCTCCTCTAAGTCACAAATAGTTGACATTTATTTTGGAGCTGAGTTGTAAACAGAGAGGAGCCATTTGAGTAGCTTTTAACCTGATGAACAACATTCTTTAGAGATGTAATCACATTCAGAGGAGACAATCTGGTTTTGCTCAGTGAGATTATTCATCAACCATTCATGTGTTCAAATCTGCAGGATTATCAGACAAAACTAAAAAACACTTATGACTCATTTAAACAGCACATGACATTAATTAATGCACTGACAGCTTGTCAACAGTCGTAGTGCTGACTGAGAACAGTCAAGCTGACTCAGAGGAACCTTGAGTCAGCGTTGTGATTCAGATTGACCGAAGGTTATGATTTTTATGATAAATCTGGTTATTTTCTGCATTTCAAAGTCCCAAGTAAATGTGACAAAGTTTTCCACTCAACAAATTTGAATTGCTACACACACCTACAACCTAGAGATCAGGGTCAAATGTAATAAGACTGCAAAACATGCAGCGCACCGTGTCCTTTTCAGTGAGAGAGTTGCAAGACACTATTGGTGATTTTGTCACATGTCATTGTTGAAGGTGTGGAAGGGGCTGCTAAGATTAGTAAAGACAACCACGATGTCCTCAACATTTGGCAATTCAGTTGCTCCTCTGAGAGGAAACATATAATATTTGACAATAACATTTGTCAAATAATAATAATAATAATAATAATCCTTATTTGTAGAGCACTTTTCAAAAACAAGTTACAAAGTGCTTTAACAAGTGTAAAGAATAATACAAAAAAAGATAAGAGCATGAAAATTTATATAAAATTAGTAAAATACAATAAAATAAAAGGGATAAAATAAAGTCAAATAAGATCGGGAAAAGCTCTCCTATAAAAGTATGTTTTAAGAAGGGACTGGTATCTGGCATGGGAAGAGGTCACTGACTCAGCCGACCTGATTTCCTCGGGCAGGCTGTTCCAGAGCCTCGGGGCCCTGACAGCAAACGCTCTGTCCCCTTTAGTTTTCAGTCGAGACTCTGGAACAGACAACAGACCTCTGCCCGAGGATCTCAAGGTACGTGCTGGTGCGTATGGGACTAAAAGGTCAGAAATATAACAAGGTGAGAGGCCATGAAGAGCTTTAAAAGTGATCAATAGAATTTTAAAGTCAATTCTAAAACATACTGGGAGCCAGTGTAATGAAGCTAAAATAGGAGTAATGTGGTCATATTTCTTTGTTCTGGTTAAAAGCCTGGCAGCTGAGTTCTGGACAGTCTGGAGTCGATCAATAGATTTTTGTGTTAAACAGGTGAAAAGGCTGTTGCAATAATCCAGGCGTGATGAGATGAAGGCGTGTAAAATGGTCTCGGTGTCCTTAAAAGTTAACATAGATCGAATTTTTGCTATATTTCTAAGTTGATAAAAACATGATTGAACAAGCTTTGTGGTGTGCTGCTCGAAATTTAAATTACTATCAAACCAAACACCAAGGTTCTTTGCCACAGGCTTAATGTGATTTACTAGGGAACCAGCAGATGGCAGTATTTGATTTGCCATCTGCTGGGACCCGATGACCAGGATTTCTGTTTTGTCTGAGTTCAGCTGGAGGAAATTATTTGACATCCATTTTTAACTTCACAAAGGCAGTTGTTAAGTGAACTCAGCATTCCAGGGTCTGTGGATCTGACGGGCAAGTATATTCATCAGCATAAATATGAAAAGAAATGCCATGTTTATGGATAATAAGGGGAAGCAGATACAAGGAAAACAAAATGGGTCCTAAGACCGACCCCTGAGGCACACCATATTTAACTGGACAGAATGAAGAGACATAGTTGTTTACAGACACGCAAAACTTCCTATTTGACAGGTAGGATGAAAACCATTCTAGAGCAGTACCAGAGATCCCCACCCAGTGCCTCAGTCTGTCTAACATGATGTTGTGATCAATGGTGTCAAATATAACTGCAAGGAACCAATGTTTTGGCCTTCTAACATAACATTCATGTATAAGACATTTTTGACAGCCCGGCAGTCGTTGTGTTTTCTGTGAGTAATGGAGCATGATTACAGGAATTATCAACATTTTTGTACAATAAATGGCATAGTATTTGCATTTTAGAAATGACAGCGACAGTTATCCATTTAGATGTGGCTTATCATAGTGCAATCCGCTTAGTTACTGGAGCCCCCTCATCACTGTGACCTATTTGCATTAGTTGGCTGGCCCTGGATACACTCGCGTCGCTTAACTCACTGGTATCAGCTTATATACAAGACCTTATTAGGTAAATGTTACTTAAATTCATTAGTCATTCCCCACCTGCAATCTGCGCTCAAATAGTTTTATTTCTTTGATCACCTCAAAGACTTACACCTCTTTGGGCCGCTACTCATTAAAATTTTCAGCAGCCAATGAATGGAATCTATTACAAAAAACTCTGAAACTACAAACTCTTGTTTCCCTCTCAGCTTTTAAAGACCTTCTGTCTGTGATATTAACTGATCAATGCACATTTATGTGTTTTTAAACATATTATTTATTTTACTGTATTGTTTATCATTTTTGCCCTTTATATTTTTAATATATTTGGCATTTTAGTATTTATTTTGTATAGGCCCACTTATCCTATCATAGCTTATTTAACTGTTTTCTGTGCTGTAGTATCCAATTCACTGTATATGACGTTTCATTAACTACTGACCTCTTTTTACCACATTGTACTTGTCTTTGTCCTTTTACGTGAAACTACATGTTGTTCTGCACTGCTTTGCCTATCTTGACCAGGTCGCCGTTGTAAATGAGGAGTTGTTCTCAATCGGCTTACCTGGTTACATAAAGGTTAAATAAAAACATTTTTAAAAAACTACTTTGTATTAAAAAAATAGCCCAATTGATAAAAGTCCATAGTGACGTTAATCAAAAGCAAGGACAATATCGCTGGAGGCAAGCATAGCTATTGAGTTTTTGAAAACATGTGAACCTTTAATGCAGTTGGCACTAAAAAACTAAACTACATTTACCTTGGCTTGATATACCACTGGGGCTAAGTAAGAGGAACAAGATTGTCCTCCTTTTACTGTGGATTTGACTCTGACTATGCTTAGTCATGATGTGACTATGACTATGCTTAGTCATGATGTGATGAGCTTGTAGGTTGTTTTTGAAAATGTTGTTTCTGGTAGTAGTAAGTCAGAGGTTACAGGACTTGCTTTGTCATCTTGAGTAGACACATGCTTTAGTTCTTCTGTACATACTTACTAGAAGAAAAAAAATAGAAAAAATATAAAGGCGATTCACATCTTGATGCCAAACTCGTGAGAAACCACATGAGAATTGTGTGACTGGAAATGTGACAATGTTGTAACAGGCTCTCATGTGACGTCAGGCTGTGAATCCACAATCATAGGTAATGTTGTAATGTTAATTACTACAGTCTAACTGTTATACTAAAGTGTGGCAGCAATCTTATTTAGAATTAGAATAGCCGTATTCGTTATCATCCAATAACTTTTAGCTATGCTGACATTGCTGAGCCTCTTTGATGAAACATACACAACACCGACGAATCCAGGTTATATGTTGTCAATGTAAAGTTATCATGTAAAAAGCATGGATTAGTTCAATGTCCATCAATGTCAGTCAAGTTCAATGATTCGTTCATCATTCGAGCACACGCAGGAGCACACGCAGGAGCACACGCAGGAGCACACACGCAGGAGCACACGCAGGAGCACACACGCAGGAGCACACGCAGGAGCACACACGCAGGAGCACACGCAGGAGCACACGCAGGAGCACACACGCAGGAGCACACACGCAGGAGCACACACGCAGGAGCACACACGCAGGAGCACACACACAGGAGCACACACGCAGGAGCACACACAGGAGCACACGCAGGAGCACACACACAGGAGCACACACACAGGAGCACACGCAGGAGCACACACACAGGAGCACACACGCAGGAGCACACACGCAGGAGCACACACGCAGGAGCACACACGCAGGAGCACACACGCAGGAGCACACACAGGAGCACACGCAGGAGCACACACGCAGGAGCACACACGCAGGAGCACACACGCAGGAGCACACACGCAGGAGCACACACACAGGAGCACACACGCAGGAGCACACACAGGAGCACACGCAGGAGCACACACACAGGAGCACACACGCAGGAGCACACACAGGAGCACACACGCAGGAGCACACACAGGAGCACACGCAGGAGCACACGCAGGAGCACACACGCAGGAGCACACACACAGGAGCACACACACAGGAGCACACACGCAGGAGCACACACAGGAGCACACGCAGGAGCACACACACAGGAGCACACACGCAGGAGCACACAGGAGCACACGCAGGAGCACACACAGGAGCACACGCAGGAGCACACGCAGGAGCACACGCAGGAGCACACACAGGAGCACACACGCAGGAGCACACACAGGAGCACACGCAGGAGCACACGCAGGAGCACACACGCAGGAGCACATGCAGGAGCACACGCAGGAGCACACGCAGGAGCACATGCAGGAGCACACGCAGGAGCACACACGCAGGAGCACACGCAGGAGCACACGCAGGAGCACACACGCAGGAGCACACGCAGGAGCACACACGCAGGAGCACACGCAGGAGCACACGCAGGAGCACACGCAGGAGCACACGTAGGAGCACACGCAGGAGAACACACAGGAGCACACGCAGGAGCACACACGCAGGAGCACACACAGGAGCACACACGCAGGAGCACACGCAGGAGCACACGCAGGAGCACACACGCAGGAGCACACGCAGGAGCACACACACAGAAGCACACACAGGAGCACACACAGGAGCACACGCAGGAGCACACACGCAGGAGCACACGCAGGAGCACACACGCAGGAGCACACGCAGGAGCACACGCAGGTGCACACACAGGAGCACACGCAGGAGCACACGCAGGAGCACACACGCAGGAGCACACGCAGGAGCACACGCAGGAGCACACGCAGGAGCACACACGCAGGAGCACACGCAGGAGCACACAAAGGGGCACACGCAGGAGCACACGCAGGAGCACACGCAGGAGCACACGCAGGAGCACACACGCAGGAGCACACAAAGGAGCACACACGCAGGAGCACACGCAGGAGCACACGCAGGAGCACACGCAGGAGCACACGCAGGAGCACACAAAGGAGCACACGCAGGAGCACACACGCAGGAGCACACGCAGGAGCACACGCAGGAGCACACACGCAGGAGCACACGCAGGAGCACACACGCAGGAGCACACGCAGGAGCACACACAGGAGCACACGCAGGAGCACACACGCAGGAGCACACGCAGGAGCACACACGCAGGAGCACACGCAGGAGCACACGCAGGAGCACACACGCAGGAGCACACGCAGGAGCACACGCAGGAGCACACGCAGGAGCACACGCAGGAGCACACGCAGGAGCACACACGCAGGAGCACACGCAGGAGCACACGCAGGAGCACACACGCAGGAGCACACGCAGGAGCACACACGCAGGAGCACACGCAGGAGCACACAAAGGAGCACACGCAGGAGCACACACGCAGGAGCACACGCAGGAGCACACGCAGGAGCACACGCAGGAGCACACAAAGGAGCACACGCAGGAGCACACGCAGGAGCACACAAAGGAGCACACGCAGGAGCACACACGCAGGAGCACACGCAGGAGCACACGCAGGAGCACACGCAGGAGCACACAAAGGAGCACACGCAGGTGCAGGTTAATATTTCTAGAAATAGTCTGAGCTATTTTGAGCTATGTTAAATAATGAATATTTTGCACAAATGTTTGTATGCCTGAGTCATAATATTACCAGAGTAAAGTTCTAAGAGAAAAAAGTAATAAAATAAAGCAGCAATTTTGAGAAATAAGTCATTATATAATGAGAATAAATGTGTAATAGTTCAGAAAAAAGTTTGGAGAACATTCGGTTTACAGGAAAGATTCATTTTGAATGTATTCAAACCACAATATTGCTATGCAAAAGATATAAATGATTAAAAAATACATATTAAATATTTTGAGAAACCTTTAAGTATTAAAAAGAGCAAAGCAGGGTGAGCTGCCTATCAGCCTATGTTGAGCTGAGCTTTCTAAAATTAAGATGAATCACAAGTGTGATCAGATGTGGTGCAGAGCAGCCTGACACCTGGTATCTGGCATGGGAATATTTGTCTTCAGTCTTCTGTCATAACAAATGAAACAAGCACATGATACCTACGTGTCAGTCTCAGGTGTTTTCCCAGACAGATAAGCCAAACAGAAAACAAAACACACAATACCTGTGTTGAAAGTTTCATTTCAATGTGTAATCATATGACCTTCTTGTACGTTGTTTCGCAACACAACTTTATTCTCAAAATATAACATCTTTGTTTTTTTTAAATATTGATTTATAACCTGACCTAACAAGTATTGTGTGTATCCACAGTCTGAAATATCTTCTTCCTCAGTGACACAGAGCTCCACTCTTGTCCATGGACTATTTAAATCAGTGAGCCACACTGTTGCACTTGGTAACACTTTCCTTGATGAACACAAACACTGTACTTTATTCTGACTCAGTCCCACATTCACCATCCTGCTGCCCCAAACACTCATACACACGCGGATTCATTGGCAGCTGGAAATAGATAGTTCCTTCTGTTTGTTTGATAGAAAACTACGGTGACCAGCTGTTACAAGAAATTACTGAGGCTTTAGAAAAAATGAAACTATACATTGGTGAGCTTAAAGATGCATGTATTCAGAATGAACCAGTAGGCTTTGGGCCGAGAGCCACGATGTATTATCTTTCTGTTCCAGTTGTTCCCCAGACGTCCTGCAGGAATCGATGCTACGAGCCCTATGATGACGAGATCCCCAGCTGCAGATGTGATGAAAACTGTATCGCCAGCAGCAGCTGCTGCTACGACTACCATGACATCTGCACTGTCCCTAGTGAGACATTGTTGACCTTGGCTGACCTTTAATATTTTTTAACAATGAAAATGTGCTGGAAAATAATCAGCTTTGCAGTTTTATATTTTCTTCTTCTGTCTTACTCCCTCTCCTCTGAGTACAGGACGTGAGGGCATCATTAAAAAGGCAGTTTAAATTTTTAAAGAATTTATTAAGTTTTATGATCAAATATTGCGGCTCTCTTTAATAGAAAAAGTGATTCTATCTGCATTTTTTCATCTTTGGATGATTTCAATGTATTAACTCAAGCAATTGTTCACCTCAGCTCAGCAGTGGGAGTGCACGAAGCTGCGCTGTGGAGAGAAGAGGCTAACGCAGAGCAGATGTCACTGCTCTGATGACTGCGCGTCTGCAGGAGACTGCTGCACAAACTACAAACATGTCTGCAATGGTGAGAATTGAAAGAGAGGACAAGAAAGATAATGGACTGTGATGTTAACTGCTGCTGTGGGTTGAACAGCTCATCTGAGCACCTATCCGAGCTGCTTAAAATGTGAATTCAAGATTTTGGGTGTTAAAAAATGTTTCTTCAGTCTACATCTATTTAACCAACAGATATATACTGGAACTGTTATTAACATGTTCTGCATTTTTTCCACCCTGCTGTAGGAGAGAAAGAGTGGGTGGAGGACGAATGTGAGGACCTGTCAGCCCCCACATGTCCAGCAAGGTAAGCATGCAGACTTTATGTGAAAGGAGCAGATCAGAAATCATGAATCATGATTAAAATCTGCTTTCAGCTTTATGTGAACTGAAACTATCAACCATTATTTTGTGCTGTAATGGAAATTTGCTGCATGTTATCGCCCCCTGGAACGTCCTGATCTACTGCACTATTTATCTCACCTCTATCTGTGTATGCATTGCCTTCATTTGGTCTAATCTGCTTTTCTTGACTGAATTTCCCCCCCCCCCCCTTTATTTTTCCACCTCATAGCTTTAAGCGCCAGCCTCTGCTCCTCGTCTCTTTGGATGGGCTACGGGCTGAGTACTTGCAGACCTGGAGCTCTGTCATCCCTGTTCTGGACAAACTCAGTAAGTGTCAAACATATTACAGTCATTTTACATCACATTTTGTGGTCATGTCCTGGAGGCAAAAATAAGGGGTCTTCTACTGTAAAACTAAGATATCAGTTGCTCTTATGTACATGTACTCTAAGGTACCGTTTTCTTTTTAGTAATAGCAGACAATAGCAGTGAATTTGCATTCCCCTTACACATTACTTGTATTTGGACTTGTTCTGAACATTTCCCAACAAAGAATAGTTGTGAATGTTTTTGATTTCCTTTCTTTGGTTTCAGGTAATTTCTGTGAACATGAAAAATATCTGTGCCTGATCCATCACAGTAAAATTTTATCCTGCATTTCTTTATCCTGAGTGTTTTCACTTATTTAGATTGACTATTTTACATATCTAGATGATAGTGGTAAATTTACAAGAACAAAATTCAGAAATTCCCTGAAATTAAAGTCACATAAAATCCAGATCACTCTGTAGTTTTCTTCTGAAGTATGTCCAATCCATGGTACAGTCTCTAAGGTGCATGATAATATAGTGATACTGGGCTGAACTCACAAGTATTTCCTCATTGCTAATTCCCATTGCGAAGTCTAAACTTAATATAACTTTCCACTGCATGCCTATTGCCTGGCAGAGGTGTGTGTGTGATGTTGAAGCCTTGCAAAGATAAGTTTCTCTCATAAAGCTATAACTATACAGTCAGAGAATACTGAAGTTTTGTACTTGTAGATTAATCTTGGAAATTTAGTTTTTTCTCAGATTTTTACCCCTCTCGGCTGGCTCCATTTTTTTTTTTTAAATTTACAATGGACTTTATGTTGTTTGCATCCATCTTAATCATATTACACATAAAAAGAGTACATAAAACATAATAGAGATTTGAACTACAATAAGAAGAACACTGAAGTTAATTACAAATTTACTCAATGCCAACAATCCTCCATGGCCTTGTCGGCCGCCACGACATTAGATTTAGCCATTAAGGTTTCTAAACTCCTCATATCCAGACACAATCAACGTGCATTCATCAGGGGAAATACAGAGCATGCGCCGTTGCAAAAAACCCAACATCTTATTTAACGTCATAGTACCGTTTAACTCCAGTGTAGGCGGTCAGAGTCAACCCTGAGTTTGCTTAATAACCCTGAGTAGGTTAAACACCTTTCATAGTATGGGCCACTGCTTGGCTGTGTGTGTTCTGTCTGATGTGTTTCACCTGTGCATGTTCCCTCCCTGTTCATTTGCCTGTGTATAAATATTTGTCAGTTGTGTTCAGTCTCTGTCTAGTTATCGTTGCGTGTTGAGTGTTGCAAACAGATGTCAGCTCTCCCGTGTGGGGCATTTGGGCGCTAAATTGCTAGTCACTCAATGAATCTGGTCGGCATTCAAAACATCTTGTGATTCAGCGGTCTCCAGTGAACCTTTTTTTTCTTTGGCTCACTATGCCAAAAGCAGCCGCTATTTGGTCTTGACGATGTTTCATTTCTGACGAAGCCTCTGAATCATTCTTGAACCAATGGATGAAAACAAAACTTATTCAAAGCAAAGGTCCAGCTGGAAGTCTTCTGTCAAACAATAAACTTTTTTCTAAAGGTAACTATTAAAAAGGTTACAAAGATTTAATTGTGTGAGTGAGATAATAAATCTTTCTGGGGCAATGACGCACATACCCTTATTGTGAATTAAATTGCCTCCAGGACAGTGCTGCCAGTTCAACACAATGCTCACGTAGCAGATAATGTGTTTGGGATTCTACTCCTTACATTACAGAGAAGTGTGGAACCTCAGCACCGTACATGCAGGCAGCATTTCCCAGCAAGACTTTCCCCAATCACTACACCATTGTTACGGTAAAGACACAAGGTGCTCACACTGCAGCACACGGAGCCATGCACACATGCATGCAATCAGTGGTTGAAACAATCTCAGTACAATTACTCAAGTACTGTACTCAAGTACAAATTTTAGGTACTTGACTTGATTATTTACATGTAATAGTACGTTATACTTCTACTTTTGTTCACTACAGGGACGTATGTTATTTGTTACTCCTCTACATTTACCTGACAGCTGGAGTTACTTTACATATTAAGATTTTACAAACAAAACAAGATAAATTTATAAAATATCATATTGTGCTATAGATTAAAATGTGCTCCACCTCCACAAGTTGTAACATTATTATGTTGCTTACATGTTAAAATATCAGTAATAATATTCCATAATATGCTTTCTATAATATCATAACTCTCTGAAAGGAACCATTCTGCCCAACTATTACTTTTATTTCAAGTCAATTTGTTTAAGGTTTTTGTGCTTTTATGAAAAGATAAATAAATAGATGGATATTATTATTATTCTTATATGGACAAAGAATGGTGCAAGAGCAAATGTCAAACACAAGTACTTTCAAGCGCACACATGAACTGCACGCACACAAAGCTGTCCTTTGTAGTGATGCAACAAGACAGTCACTTCCTGCTCTGAACCAAAAGAACATGTAGTTTTATAATTTCAAGAGAAATGAAGTGCTGGCTGAACGAAGTGTTTTAACATGCAGTTTCCACAGTATTTTAATCCTACTATTTATAGATGGCTGAGGCTCCACAACATGACCAAAAGGCTTTGCCAAGGGGATTTTTTCTTATATAACAGAAGTCTTAGGATTTTAGGACAAAAGCAGGGTCTAGAGGGTGTATGTGAAACCTTATGAATATTTTTCAAACTGCACAGGATGGATACAGGATATCAAGCACAAGGAAGCCACAGACACATGTGCTATAGTAGGTCAAACGAAAGTGGAATGATGGACAATCCCTAGTTCCAAGAATTTTCCACATAACACTCTGACTCACTCATCATTTTTTTATTATTATTACTGTGACTTCACCTCATCACAAATCAGTTATAACTCATCTCACATTTCAACTTTTACAGATGTAATTTATAGAAATACTGCTTCATGTCCAAACAATTGTCACACTTAGTCTTCTCCTCTCCTCTCAGGGTCTCTATCCAGAGTCCAACGGTTTGATTGACAACACTATGTATGACCCTGTGTTTGATGCCACCTTCAGTCTGTCCAGTCCAGAGAAAGATAACCCTAACTGGTACCTCGGAGAGCCTGTGAGTCTTGATTCATCTAATTTAAATCAATTTCAGATGCACACTGGATGACGAATTCACAGAATGGGTATAGGTTTGATTTCGGCAGTGGGGGAGAGGGACCCATTAAAGTGAAATCTAGTTCTAAAAACACCATTTCTTGCATGTATTTTTAAACATTAAATTTAATTATTATAAAACTGGTCATTGTGCTTTCCATTATACTGGTAGTATAGCAAACAATAATGCTATGTGAACCTCTGTATAATGCACTAACCCTACTTAAAATGAAGTTTCATTTGGTTAATAGATATTTTTGATTCATATGACATTTTATTTGCAGGTTTACTACATAGACATTAGTGAATAAGTGAATCTTATCTTTCACTGATTTTTTAAATTTTTATTCTAGCATCTTATTCTGCACTAATCAAAAAAATAAGGGAACACTTCAAAAACTTCAGAGATATCAATCTGTTCAGTTGGGGAGAAAAAGCGATTGTGAATCAGTGTCACTTTTTTTTTTTTTGCAAATGAAAGTGACAACATGTGCACTGGAGAGACAACAGCAAGACAACTCCCAAAAATTTCTCTCTTCTCATGCTTTCTGACTGATTGTTCTCTAGTTTTGGATTTTGCTAGTGTCCTTGTCACTACTCGTAGCATGAGGCAGTACCTACAGCCCGTTCAGATTGCACAGTTAGTCCAGCTCCTCCAGGATGGCACATCCATTCCAGCTGTCGCAAGAACGTATGCTGTGTCTCCCAGCGTAATCTCAAGAGCATGGAGGAAATACCAGGAAATGGGCCTTTACTCGAGTAGAGCTGGACAAGCCTGTAGAAGGGCATTGACCCAGCAGCAGGACCAGTATCTGCTCCTTTTGCGAGAAGCAACAGGAGGAGCACTGCCAGAGCCCTACAAAACGGACCAAAAGTCCTCTAGTGGGATCTGTGCCCACAGTCTAGCACTGTGCAGTTCAACCGGCATCCTCCAGAGACCACCAAAGCTGTCAGGTTCGCCATTGGTGCCCCGTTTTCTTCATTGATGAGAGCAGGTTCACACTGACCACATGTGACAGACATGAAAGAGTCTAAAGACGCCGTGGTGAATGTTATGCTGCCTCCAACAACATTCAGCTTGACCGGTTTGGAGGTGGCTCAGTGATGGTCTAGTGATGCATATCCTTGGAGGGTTGCTGTTCCTGACTAGGGTGAAATGACAAGGTCTGACAATGAAAACCCTTACGCTGGGTACCTTATGGTGGGTGGTACAGTGGGCCCTTGGTTCCTTCTGATGCAGGACAACACCAGACTCATGTGGCCAGAGTGTGATGACGGAGACAATGATGCATTGACAGGCCCTCATGTTCCCCAGAACTGAATCCAATTGAGATCCTCCGGAACGTTATGTATCATGCATTCAACGCCGCCAAGTAGCTGTTCAGGAGCTCATTGATGTTGTGATCCAAGTCTGGGAGGAGACCCCCAAGACAACATCTGCCGTCTAATCAGGAGCCCCTTGACATTACTGGGAGTGCATACGGGCACATTGGGGCCAGACACACTACTGAGTCACATGATGAGTTGCCATGATAAAAAGTTACGCAGGTTGGATCAGCCTGTGATTTCAGTATTTTTACTTTTAAGGTATTTTTAGTTTCAGTGTGAATTTCGGTGGTTTCTTGTGTTTCTATGTAGTTATGGGTTTCACTAGTATTCTGGGTTTGTTTTTCTGTCTGCATTCCTTGCTTTTTTATATGTTTTATTTTGTGATATCTCTCCTTGTTTGTTTCTGTGAGCTTCATATTTCTTGTTTTAGTTTGTAGTTTAGTCTGTGTGTGTTTTTCATTTTTCACTTCCTGTGCTTGTCCCTGATTGTCTTTGTGGTTTCACCTGTGTGTAATTAGTTTCTCAGTTCCTCACCTGTGTATTTAGGTGGCTGTCTTTCACTGAGTGCCAGTTCATTGTGGATTTTGTTAGTGTTTTGTCAGCATTAGTGTTCCAGTGTTTCTTGTGCCTCTGGATTTTTCACCCCTTTGTGTTTTGGATTTTCATGTTCAGTGTTTTTTCGGACTGCTCACACCACACCACCTTTAAGTTTCACCGTTGGTGTGGCCAAAACAACCTGGAGTTCAACACACTCAATCCTTCAGGTTTATGCGATCCACCATCATCAAGAAAGACCAGCAGAGGATGTACTTCCTGTGCCAGCTCAGGAAGCTCAACCTGCCTAAGGAGCTGCTGATCCACTTCTACACAGCCATCATCCAGTCTGTCCTCTGCACGTCCGTCAACAATACTTGTGCAATAACCCAGTAACTCTCTGTGTCTACGTTTGGATCCAAACCTTTCCTGCGTTCAGCCCATGAGCTGAAAGTAACAAAATGTACAGTAAAGATGAGCGTGTCAGCATTTTTGTCATCTCAGATCTTCTCTTATCTGGTCTCCGGTGTTTGGACAGTAAGAGAACAATGTTCAGAGAGAGTTTTGTATGAAAATCAACCTGAAACAATATCAACCAGGGGGTCAAAATATGATTCAGTAAGGTGAGGGGGGCGCATGATATATTGAGATTATTTTAATTTGATTTAATGGAGGAGCCAGTTTCTGTTGAGATCATCTCTCGTGTTTGTCTTTGTAGATTTGGCACACAGCAATGTACCAGGGGCTGAAGTCTGGGACTTTCTTTTGGCCAGGATCAGATGTCAAAATCAATGGAAGCTTTCCCAACATCTTCCAACCTTACAATGGGTAAGGACTGTCCTTTCTGTTCAGAGAGAGTTTTGAATCCCAGGGAATCAGAATAAAACATCTGAGAACAATGTATTTAGTCCAAACCAAATGTGTCTCTTGTAGTTGTTGTGTAACTGTTTCCCTAATTTGTTATTGAACTTTCAGCTTCACCATGAGATTTTTGCGCTGACACCATGTTAAAGTGTATCATTTGCTTTCTAGAAAAAAACAAACCAAACTTCCGCACTTTCCTGAGTGACACTGACGACAAATGCACTTAATCACATTTGGAAGTGTCCCAGCATCTGCTGTCACACATTGAGCAACCAATGCTCAGATGCTGTCACTACATGTTTTCAAATTCTGCCTTGGAGCTGAACTAGTTGCAGGTCTGCTTTTGAAAGTTTGTCAGGATATCAAACAATGCTCAATTAAAAAATGCTTTTAGAACAGAATTTTTTTTAGGTTGACTTGTTGGCAAATGCCTGAGCAGTTATCTCACCCACATTTCAGTGCCTGTGTGAGTGAAAAATGGGGAAAATAGGAGAACTGAAAAACATTACAATTAAATATGAAATAGTTTTAAAACTGCAGAACCATTTACAGCCATATCAAAATGACATTATTATTTAATGTTGTTTTATTTGGCACACAGCATCGGTGTGTGCAGCATTGAATGAAAAGCAAAATAAAGTAAAGCACTTTGGATAAAAGCACTATGAAAATGCAGCGATTTACTCTTCGCTATTTATTCTTAAATCATTACAATGAATGTCATGCACCTTCTGCAGATCTACAAAGTACATGTAGACTAGATGGGCATACTCCCAGGCCCACTCCAAGACCCTTGTGAGAGTAAAGAGATGGTCGGTTGTTGGAGTCTTGGAGTAGACTTTACCGGGGAGGCTAAGAAGTGTGATACCTCTGTAATTGGCACACACTCTCTGGTCCCCCTTTTTGAACAGGGGAACCACCACCCCGGTCTGCCACTCCTTCGGCACTGTACCCAACTTCCACGCAATGTTAAAGAGACATGTTATCCAAGACAGCCACTCCACACCCAAAGCTTTTAGCATTTCTGGGCGGATCTCATCAATCCCTGGGGCTTTGCCACTGTGGAGTTGTTTGACTACCTCAGTGACTTCCATTAGGGAAATTGACGAGAAACCCCCATCAGCCTGCATCTCTGCCTCTACTAGAGAGGGAAAGTGTTCCTTCCACAGCCCAATTACCTCCCCAGTTTAGGTCAACAGGGTCCCATCCTTACTGTACACAGCTTGGACGGTTCCCTGCTTCCCCCTCCTGAGGTGGCAGACAGTTCTCCAGAAGCACTTTGGTGCCAACCGAAAGTCCTTCTTCATGTCTTCTCCGAACTTCTCCTACACCCGCTGCTTTGGCTGCAGACCTTCGGGCCTGTCTCCGGACTCCTCCAAGACAACAAATCTCGGAAGGCCTCCTTCTTCAGTTGGACGGCTTCCCTGACCACTAGTGTCCATCACGGTGTTCGAGGGTTACCGCCCCTTGACGCACGCACCTAAGACTTTGAGACCACGGCTTCCCGCTGCGGCTTCAGCAATAGAAGCTTTGAACAATGCCCACTCATGTGAACTCCAACGTAGCGGCGCTCAGCCGGGGGCTTGTGAGTATCCGCCTCATGGCGCCTCACACCCTGAGCAACTCCAGAGAAGAAAAGGGTCCATCCTCTATTGAGGAGTACGGTTCCAGAACCGAGACTGCGTGGAGGTTAGCCCCACCAGATCTAACTGGTAGCGCTCCATCTGGCACCTTCCCCCACAGAGAGGTGACGTTCCACGTCCCCAGAGCCAGCCTCTGCTGCCTGGGT